TTCAAGAAAAGGAATGTGTCTCATTCAAGTTCAAGTCCAACACCAAGTCAGAGTAATGATGGTGGTGGTTTAAGTCCAAATGATGATGATGATGATGGTGATGGTGATGGTGATGGTGATGGTGATGGTGATGGTGTGAATTTTGGTGATAATATAGATGCAAATCGACCTTACAGCTCACTTGGAGGAGAATTTGGGCTTGCTGCTACTGGTGGATTTTTCATTAATATGGCAGAATACGGAGTAAATCCATTTGCTGAATCTAATGAGGGTCAAAATGCATGTATAGCTCGATTAAAAGGAAAAGCCAAAAAGCACCACTATGATATTTCTAGAGGTTTTTCATCTTCAGGTGGGAGATCAAATTCTAGTAACTTTGAGTATAGTGAATCATTAGTTAGTACTCAAAGACATTACTATCCACTGGAATAACTTGATTTTTGACCTCCTCATGGTTATCCACCTCCATATGGTTATTATCCAACTCAAATGTATCTTCCACCTCCTTAAATGTATCATCCACCTCAAATGTATCATTTACCATAAATGTATCCGTCACCACAAATGTATCATCCTCAAATATGTCCTCCACCTCAAATGTATTAAGAACAAAGGCTTTAGGGATGGAGATGGAGTCAACTTGGCTCTCAAAGTGAAGATAGAGAATTTGATCCTCCTCGTCATTCTACCATGTGGTAAAATTTGAAATATATATCAATAATTGTAGTTGATGAAATTTGAAATTATTATATTTTTAAGTTTGTAATTTTATTAAATATAAATGCTTGGTATTTAACGTGTTATGTTTTATTAATATTTAATTATCTAGAATTAATATTGAATATGAACTTGGCCAAGAAAAAATTTTGTGGATAAACCAAATATGAATGCTTTTTATAATCAAAATAAAATTGTGAATAATTTTTTTAGAAAACAAAAAACATAAAGTCTCATAAACTATTTTCAAAATCATTGAATAAGAGTTTTTATAATTATAATTATTACATTTTATAATAAATTGTGCAAAAAAAAAAAATTTCACGACCGTGACGACCGCAATGATCGCAATGATCTCTGTTATATTCGAAAACGCGATAAACGTGACGTGACCGAAAATGTGACTGCTACCGTTATTTAAATCCATGTATTAGAAGCCTCTTATAGATTACTACAAACTATAAATATAGATTCCCACAAGCTATGAAGCTAACTATCAATGCCATGGAATGATATTTCCAATGCAACCTCTATGATTCTTGGCTGACTCTGTTCTCAGTATTCCCATAAACCTTGCACCTTGCACCTACTGGTATCTGCAATCATAATTTATAAACTCAAAACATCTATAGTCAAATGATTGCACTTACTTGAAGGGAACCTCCAGATGTTAATGTCAGATTGATAAGTCTTCTTTCAGCTCTAGCATTTTTCTAGCTCTGCCTGCCTAGCAATATCCAAGAAAAATTTTTCAAGGGTAGTAAGGCCAAGTTGAATATCTGCCATACCAAACAAATTCAAGGAGAGTTTATTTCATAATAGGCAAGTCCTCACTGTTAAGAGCTTTTCTCTATCACGAGGAATGACAAAAGACAAGATAGCTTTATTCTCCTCCTTTGGTACTACATCTAGAGACAAGCCACATGAGAAACCAAATCGTTGAAATTTGAGAAATCTTTAACCAAGTGAAACTATCCAACGTACAGTTTAAAAGAACTGGTTCAAACACTCATGGTGGTAACTTGTAGCAACTACATCTCCATTTGAAGGGCCCATTCCATTGTTGCTTCCAATGAAGCTAATGTTGGCAAAATCGTGACTTCAACCTGATTGAGGTTCCAATGCAAAGGAGCCTACCCTTTGCCAAGATTCCTCTGTGGTCACTTAAAAACATCAGATTCTTTCATAGCGTGTATTGTTCAGGCAATGAGACGGTCTTTCTGTGCCTTCTCTATTATGTCCCATGCATGCCTTCTCGTTATTGGATCCATGCCAGAAGTTTGCAGTTAACAGAAAAAGATTAGTACCCAGTACTATAAGAAACAGAAGCAATTGGATAAACAGATTAAGCACAATAACATGATAAAAGAGATTATAACTGGCATTCCGGTGCATCCAGAATGACCAACTTTGGATCCTTAGTTAGGGATACTGCAACACTGAGCCAGTGCCTCATTCCTCCACTGTAACTCTCAGCTCTTACTTGCGAAGCATCAATTAGTCTGAGATCAGCCAATTATGACTTCTGAACTACCTGGTATTTGAGCTAAATAATACTCAGGTAATAAAGTTCATAGTGTCTTTTTGACTAATTATTTCATTAAGAATGCAAGTAACCATCTATATGCTATAGCATGATAACCATTGAATACTAGGCCAATAGGAAAGCTAGTTCACAGAAAAACATCTAAAAGTAACCAGATGCATTTGGAATTACATCATCCAAGTAGATAGCTAAAATAATCCCCAGGGAAAAAGTAGCCACCAACCATACTTAGATGTCATTCTGCCAAGACCATGAGAAATAAAAAATTACAGGAATAATGATATAATTCAACAATTCAGAGAAAAAAAAAGGGGAAAAGAGATGATTCAGCATTGTGAAGGAACTCCTGGATTCTAACCTCAAATATGAATATTCAAGTTTCTAGGGCGGCCTTATAGAAGGATTAGTTTATCTTTACTGGGGTTGGGTTGGGTTCGGTTCAAGGCTTTGAGATAACAGGAGCTTTTGTCTGATCCAGGAACATTGATCTTTTGTCCAATCCTGGGATCAAAGTAAATTCTGGACTTAGTTTATGTTTTTATTTCTTTCATTGGATGATTACATTTGTCCTGAGTTATAATTTTTATAACTTTAGAAAGGGATTAGAAAATTAGAACTAAATTTTAGACTTTTAATCATAAAAAGGTTTGGACCTCCAACCAATTTTTGTGATTGTAATTACGAAAGTGGATTCCATTTTAAGTAGTCCACAAGTTCTGACATTAATTATAGTTAAGAACAAAATTTAAATAGCAAAAACAACAATGATATGAAATCTAAAAAAAAGTTTTTTTTTTTTTTTTTATCATAGTTAAGAAAAAATTACTGCATTAAATTGTGCCATTTATAAATACAATTAAAGTATTTCTAAGAATTGATGACCAGATGATATATGTCATTAAAAATGATTGGAGAGTAATTTAGGGAGAAATCTTCTGATACTTTTTCTCAAATTTTTAAACTTTTTTTAAAAAATATGTATACATATACAAATTCATATGTCTATGTGATATTCAGATCATAGTATTGGCAAGTCTAATTCTTAACATATTCTTTGAAGGAGGAATATAAATCAACACCTCTGATTTAACGTTAAAACTCTTGTTAGCCTAAATCTTTTAAATATCACCCTACAAGGAAGCTACCCAGGCTGCATTTTATTTGACAAAAAAAAGGCAAACAATATTAATTCATCGAACTTAGGATTTGTTGAACACTTTTTTTTTTTTTGTTGCTATTGCATTAGCTAAATTAAAGGTATTTCCCCGTTGTAAGTGTTTGATATGATTTTCAAGTATTTATAAATGAATGAAAAGGTGTTCAAGAAACGTTCTTAAAAAATAATGCTACATCAGTCTATGTTGATTGCTTTATTACTTAATTAATAGTCTTGATTATATTTCTTATCAATAGTCATTCTTATTTTTTATACAGTATGTTCCTACAACATTTACTAAACATTTTCTTTTAACAAGTCCAATGGATCTTACTCTTTTAATCCCAAAACAATAAAAAGAATTCCCCATTCAAAACACTCACACCAACATAGATTATCAACCTGCTCACTACATTCACTCTAGCAAAAATAAATCCCTTTCCACCGACTAGTGTTGCTTCACTATTGATAATCATCTCAACCCTGAAGATTAATGTATATTTCATAAGATTGAATCACACAAATTCATCATTTTCATCTTTCGCTTTGCTTAGTTGTAGGGGTGTTTATTTGGTTGGTTCAATTAATTTTAAATCGAATTATTTAAAATTGAATTAAATAAATTATATTTTTTATTTTTATTAACCAAATCAAATTTATGAATTTCAAAAATTAACCGATTGAATTTATTTCAGTCAATTTGGTTAATTTTTTGGTTAACTGAATAATAAATGCATTTATATTAAATTATATTTTATACTCTTAATTTTTCATATTTTTAACAAATTAAATAAAATTATTTAATAAAATATTCAAATACTAAAGTATTATGTTAAAACTTTTAACAAGTTATGAAATTAAGTGATCCATTTCATGTATTTTGTTATTTTATTTTTAGATTATATTATATTTTAATTAAAATTTTGGCTAATTCAATTAATTCAGTTTTCAAACTGAATTAATTGAAAATTAAAATTTTTTAAAGTTATTTTTGTTAATTGATTGAAATTGATTCAATGATTAATTAATTAATTAAATTAAATTGATTCAATTGATTAATTCGATTAAAACCGAATTACGAATTATTAACACCCTTGCTTAGCTGCATAACCGTAAGGATACTGTTGTTCCCATTTTATTAAATAGCAAATCTATTACTCTAATGTTTTCATTTTTTCAAGTCACTGCTGATGTTTTTATTTTGTCAAAATGTTATTTAATACTTATTCCTCAATACAAAACATCATTTTTTATAAGTATTAAGCTGCTATTTAAAGCTTACTACTAAGTATGAAATTTTTTTTAATTTAAAATTAGATATTTGCAATTAGCATTATCAATAATTAATGATTTAAAATTTAAATTTAAATTTAATTAATGCATATAATTATTTTAAAAATGATCTTTATCTATAAATTTTTTTTATTTTAATCCTTCGATAAATAATGGCTTAACTATTATCTAAGCAAAACAAAAGTTACAACAAGTTATTACGAATAAAATTATCATTTTAACCAAAAAAAAATAATTAAAGCGTTGTAACACGCGAGAAAAAGTCGCGTGAGACATCATTAATTTGCAGTTTACATTTTACCCACCAAGATGAGTTCAGTTCAGGCCTAGTTAGGTGGTTGAAACTGTTGAATTTTTTGGCTGAAAATATAAAATAGAATTGAAAACAGTTTCTTCCGGTGATAACATTATTGGCAATAAACCCGTCTTTTATTATTATTTACTTTTTAGTTTTGACGTATCAAACTGATTCCCATTTTTTTAATTAGTTTCTTGTTCCACTTGTTCATGTCATCCTTCTATTGTGTTTTTTAATTCTCTGGTTTCTGCAAATCCCATGATTTAATCCTTAACTAACATAACTCTGAGAAAGTTTATCATCAAATCTCCCAATTTTAGATTCTGGGTCTTTTTTGTTTGTCTTCAAAAACCTGTTTTTCCCTGTTTTATGGTTTGCTTTGTGTTTAGATGATCCATGGAGGTTTGATACAAGGGTTTTCTTTGGATTTGGAGGTAAAATAAAAATGAGGGCATTTCCTGGAAGTCCAGGGACTTTGACTAGCCTTTTTTTGAGGATTGTACAGTGCGTTTTTGCAGCTGGATCAATTGCTTCCATGGCTACCACTACTAGCTTCTTCAATTTTACAGCTTTCTGGTATTTTCCTTTTGCTCTTTTATAGTTTCTTGCTGAATTTATTTTACCGGAAAATTTTCCTTTTGGGTGTTATTTGCTAAGTCTATGCTGGATATAGCTAGGCATTATAATTTTATGCCTTTGCTTTTGTTTATAATTTCTGTCTTGTACTTTGAAAAGTTAAGTAGAAGATAATGTTTGGTTTAGGAATCCTGCAGAGTTTTGATTAATTTGCAAATTTTGACTGGACTGATCTATCAATAGTTTATTTTGTCTTGATGTTTCAATAAAGTTCTGATTCTCTGTTGAGTCTACTCATAATGCAGTTCAAAAATATGTTAGTATATCATTCAATTGTGAGGTTAAATATCTGCTTTCTTGCTGTTTATGGTAACAGTGAGTTGAACATATTTTTTTGAGAAATGAGTTGCAATTTATAAAGAATTATCCGTATAATAACTAAATTTGGAATTTTTGTGATGAATCAGACATTGTTCACCATCCTTGTCATACTCTTGAATTTGTGAAAAAAAGAAGTTGGAGTGATGACAGTTTATCTATTTTTCCTGATTCAAGTAAAATTGCATTAGGGACCATTAGATTATTTGTCTTATCTCCATCTTAATGTGTCATTTTGGAAAAGAACTGGAGAATTCAGGTTGCCATTTAATACTTGGTCACACGGATTGGAGAAAAGAAAGGGAAGATAGAAATTAATCATTACTTTACTCATTACGGCAAATTCTATTCAAAAGAGGGATGATATTCGTCAATTTTCTCAGTTTCTGCTTATGCCTAAAGAGGTAGATGAAAATGTACAGTTGCTGCTGTGTGGATGCTTTGCTTATGAGGAAATGAATCTCAGTTTAGGTTAAATCTTGATCATGTGTCATTTGCATTCTTGGATGGACAACATTAGGATCAAGCATACAAGGACAGGATGTGCTCCGCAAAGTCCCAACTTCTGATTAGATTTTTCCGAATTATTAGCACTTAATAACAAGCTGAGTTAGAATATAGTAGGTGTAAGTTTATGATGATAAAATCGTCGTTATCAGTATAGGACCATAGCAGGGATGAATTATATTACTTCTCATAGGCATGATTTTGGTTTGACATAGACTTTGAAGTTCCTTTTTATGTGGTGTGATCAGAGTTTTATGACTCAAACAAATTAGCTAGCCCGATGGAAGACCTGAATAGTTCATGTAATCAATGGAACTCTATTATTTTAAGTATCTAATGCGAGTGCTGAAAATTTTGTTGAGTAACTAATCCTTGTGAATAAACATTTGGATCTTAGCTGCATATTTGTAGTTCACTGAGTCTTCATGGGCCATTAAACATATCTATTCTTATTGTGATGTCACTGAACTCATTTTGCTGTCTTCTGCAATCTTATCACAAATTGTTACAGCCTCTAAGAACACTAAATTCATATCTAAGGTATCGATTCCTACATTTTTTTCCATTTACTCATTTATTTGTTTCTTATGTACTAGTAGTTCATAGAGACTATCTACTTCTGCTATGACAGAACTTTTCAGTCAGGAATCACTCATAACTAATGGACAAGGCAACCAATTCTGAACTTGGTTATATTTTCCCCAATTATTTTATAAATATTTGATGGTACTTATTTGCAGCTGTCGACATTGGGGTTATAGTTGGACAACCATTAATGGTTTGCAAATGTTTGTCTCAACCTAGGAATCTAAAGATATGTTTTTGAAGATCATCTTGCTTTTGCAGTTACCTTATTGCTTCAATGGGATTGCAAGTTGTTTGGAGCTTTGCTCTCGCATTATTAGATGGAATTGCCTTGGTGAAAAAGAAGGTCCTCCATAATCCCATTTTAGTCAGCCTTTTTGTAGTTGGAGACTGGGTCAGCCTCTTTCAAAACTCTGAACCTTCTTGATTTTTTCATGAAATCCCACATGGTTTTGGAATTAGTTATTTCCAATTGAAACTCACATTGGTATTAAATTTTACACAGGTGACGGCTACATTGTCTCTGGCTGCAGCTTCTTCCTCGGCAGGCATTGCTGTATTGTACTTTAATGACTTGGGAAATTGCAAATTTGGAGAAGAATGCCAAAAATATCAGTTGTCAGTTGCTTTCGCCTTCCTTGGTTGGATAGCAATTTCAATATCATCTTTAATTATGCTTTGGCTATTGGCTGCCGCTTAAACATTTGTTGTACAGGCTCTTGGTTTTCTTCCACATTCCAAGAAACCGTTGATCGCAGAAATTTTGATCTTCTTATAATGTCCATAGAAAAGAAAAAAACGTGAATATAGTGTTATGATGCTCAGCATTGTTTTATTCCCTCATGGGTTTTATTTTTTTGGTTGCTTCTAGTGGTGGCAAATAAAACATCAGTTATGTGGATTTGAAAAGTAAATAGATATGGGAAATTCCTCTTTTACAAGCAAACGCGTTTAATTACCTATAGAAACATCATTTTTTTTTTTGGCGATGGGATGAAGCAAACCATTATTTTGTCTATATCATGTGAAATTTAGTGGCTTTAAAGTTGGAACTTCAACCATAGTGGGTTTTGGTGAATTGGTTGCTCAATCATGCTCTTATCAACATGCTTAGACTGCAAGGCATGAAAGTTGTGCACCTTTTTCTCCCATTTCTTCTAACAAATTATATTTTGTAGAATGATGGATTTGTCATTTTTGTGCTCTTATCAACTTTGTCTGGCTGCGACTATAGGATCCTCTTTTTTCCATGATAAAAGCTTGTCAACAGCATGTATATGCCGAGAGTACAAATACGTTTTGGTTACTATGAGCTTCTCCTACTCTTTCTTGCCGTTGTTTGGAGAAGAAACTTGTATTTTTTTTTTCAAATTAATGGAAAATCACTTCTTATGCTCAAATGCCAATTATACTCGCAACTTTGTGTGCATATTTAGACATTGCATTTGCAGTCCAAATCAGCTTTTGAGAGCTTAAATGCATTGCCAAAATGTTGTTCCTTCGTGTTTAAAAGTTGTTCCTTGCTCAAACCCTACCAGAAGAAATGTTGGATTTAATGCTCTATCGGTCCCCTGGATCCATTCATTTGATACTTCAACCATTATATTTCATATTCTACATTTTTTTTTTCTTTTAAATCAATTAAGAATTAACATCTAAAACTTACCAAATTTTTTGGTTTTGAAATCTTTTTTTTTTACATGCGATGATATTAAGTTACACAACGAAATTTAATTCTTTTTTATTATGTAAATTCTACCACATTTATCCAAATATCCAATCTTGGGAGCTCAAAGATGGAATCTTAATATTTTATAACCTTCAAATTGTTCCTAAGGACACACAATTGCTCAAATCTGCTTTGTTGAAAGATCATATACTAATCACTTAACTAAACACTCAAATGTTTGCTCGATTTTTAATTTTTTTTTTTTTTGTGAAAACTCAATTAAATTAACTACTTTATGTACTTAAAATAGTAATCTTGATCACTGGCAAATTAATAATAATAATAATAATAATCTTGATCTGGCCATCAATTATCGTTGTTTCTAATCGTTTCAACTTTCAAACATACATGCGAGCTGTAGTGCTCAGCCATCCTCAAATCATGATCTGTAGTTATCTTGAATTAAATGGGAGTGGAAGATACATCATACTTTGAATTTGATTCCATCAATGAATAGCCCATTCAGCATTAGTAAATTATGTAGCAAATGACTTCTGTAACTAACTTATATTCTATACTTTTTAGCATCCATGAATTTCTAGTTGAAGATGGAAATTGACATAGAAAAAATGCTGAGTCAGCCCACTAAGAAATTGAGATTGAAAGTCATTTTATTCTATACATGTAATGTTTTAACATTAAATTTCAGTAAATGAAGAATTTTTAAAAAATTTAGACTTTAACTTAATTATTTATATAATCACTTTCAATAAATAACATCCAATAAATTTGATATCTAATCCCAATATTTATAATTTATTTTTGTATCTCTAGATTTAGTATTCTTTTTACCCTAAGAAAAGCAAAATTTAATGCCAATTGGACAAATGGAAAAAAAAAAAAAAGCCAACTGGACTCTTAGTTTCAAAATTGCATATGAATTTTTCGTGTGGAAATAACTAATTAATGCATAAAATATACCAACGACTATCATATTTAATAACATATGTATAAGTTTGAGTATTTGCTTTAACGATAAATATATGTATTTTTACTCATAAATCAGATATTTAATTCAATAATAAATATATGCATCTTTGCTCAAAAAATTAGACTCAAATCATTCTCTTTCAAAATTAAAAAAAAAAAAAAAAAGAAAACCATAACATGACATTTGAATATTAATTAAATTAACCTAGTAAAATTTCATGTTTTATTTGACAATAATGATAACATTGCAGAAAAGTTGTCACTTGATCTCAGCTATTCCGTATATATCCAACCACGTTTTGCAATGCCCTTCATCTTTTTCCCTTTGAGAGCAAAGAAACAATTTCAAGTAGTTTCAGTGTTAAAGGAACCCAATGTGTCAAATCAGTTTTACACAAATGGCAAATGAAAACACCATGCAAATTGACACATTGCAGCGGCCAACAAAAAGTCTCTTAAAATGTTAGTGACAAAGGCACTTACATGCAGGCCTAGAACTTCCCCTCCAATATGCTGATCATAGTTGGAAACATTCCAGGAGAACCTGATTCTGTTGTAAGTATAATGATGCTCCATGACTCTTTCTATTAATATTTGAGGTATATTTAAAAATTCTTTCATTCAACGTCACATAAAATCAAGTATGCGAAGGAAAAAGCTCGAGTAGTTTTCAAGCTTTAACAAATCGAAGAAGATATTGATAGGAAATTTATTAACAAAGTGTAAAAGGTGATAATATAGCGTAACGAATTAAAGAATCTAGCATAACTTGATTGAAACTTGAAGCAAGTTGCTTAATCAGGGAATCAATAGAATTTAGATGGAATTTTAATCAAGAACATGATACTAACAACAACATGCAACAGGAATGGAAATAAGAACAAATCTCACATTACTTTTTTGAGTGTATATAATGTTTGTTTGCTCCTTCAGCTTGTGAAGAAGTGAGCAGGGGAGACAATGGCGCATCAAGCAGGCTTGTATTCGGAAATTTACAGCAGGTACATGCCACATCTCCTCATGGTACTTGCTCAGGTTGGCTACACTTTTCTCTATATTATTACAGAAGCTTGCTTTAATCATGGGATGAATCCTCAAGTCCACATAACTTATCGACTCATTATAGCCGGCATCGTGATGTTACCTTTTGCCTATTTCCTTGAAAGGTACATAAATATTCATTTTCATTTTCATGCAAATATGACTTCTGTGCAAACTATAAGTGTAACTTAGATGGTTCATGCAGCCATCACTTTAAATTCAGTGCCTGCAACCCTTTTCTATCTCATAAGTTACGGCCTCCTTTATACCAAAAAATAATAATAATAAAAAACTTGTGTGCCATTTCTGCATGAAAATATTTGCAATCATGTTTTATGTTGATATGCACAACTTCTGTTCTTTCATTCATGCAGAAAAACAAGACCAAAGCTGACATTTGCCCTTTTCCTGGAGATATTTGTTAACTCCATCCTGGGGTAGGGATGTCTTTAAAAGTTACATTCACATTGCAATAAAAACTTAAAATAAAACTAAGTTTTGGTTTCTTCCAATTACCACAGGGTGAGTTTGACTCTCAACATGTATTTTGCAAGCTTGAGATACACCTCTCCTACTTTCCTTGCAGCAATTGTCAACACTATAGCTTCTTTGACTTTCGTAATTGCGGTTGTGCTCAGGTTAGTATCCCTCTTGATAAATAAATTACCAAAGCATCCATGAATTGAACCATCACTTCATATCTAGGATCAACTTCATGCAGAATGGAGGTTGTTAATCTTCGAAGTCCTCGAGGAATAGCCAAAGTTCTTGGGACATCTGTCTCCTTGGTCGGTGTAACAACGATGACATTGTACAAGGGTCCTGCCATAAAAAATTTATGGCATCCTCTAGTCCATATTCAAGGAAAATCCGCCATTCATGAGAATTGGTTGAAGGGTTCAATTCTTACTGTTGCAAGCTGCATGACTTGGTCTATCTGGTACATCATGCAGGTAAAAACTCATGCCTTGACCAAATTCAAGCTCCATGCAACACTATAACCATCAAAGAATAATACCAAAAAAACAAAAAGCTATGAATAACTAAAGGTAAAATGAAAGATACTGACTAATTTCCACACCAGAGATGCAGCAGTATGCTTCTGATATGCTTAGGAAAAATTTGTAGGCATTTACATTGAAACGATATCCAGCACCACTGTCACTAACTACTTGGATGAGCTTTGTTGGGGCTGCACAATCAGCCATCTTCACGGTCATTGTGGAGCATAAACCAGCTGCTTGGATAATTGGATTCAATATCGACCTCTGTGCTACTGTATATGCTGTAAGCAGGGGCTTGTTTTACAGTTAAATGTAGTGAAAGAAAATTTTAGTTTTCTTGTAGATTTCTGATTCTGAATCATCCATGACAGGGAGTGGTGTGCTCCGGTTTAATAATGTTCATTCAACTCTGGTGCACGGAAGAGAAAGGGCCAGTCTTTGTGACTATGTTCAATCCCCTTTCAACCATACTGGTGGCTATTCTTGCATACTTTGTCCTCGGTGAAAAGCTTTACACTGGCAGGTAATTTTATATTCAATTTACTCGAGATCTCTTTGTATCTATCAAGTACAAAACTTTAGAAGACCAACATATTACTCATGGGTTCTGAAAAGTTCACCTGTGTTTTGTTCAGCATTTTAGGGGGAGTAATTGTCATCGTTGGCCTGTATTTACTGCTGTGGGGTAAAGATCGTGATCGGGAACCTCAAATTGGAAGAGAAGGGGCAACCTGACTTGGTCCATGACCACAAAAACAACTCGGAAGCACACAAAACCCTTTCAGCTGAAGGGTAAGGATCGCAATGCGAACCTTGAAGAGCAAAAGAGGAATTCCATGATGTGATCATGTTATAGAAATTTGCAAAGCATATCTTTATAACTTCTTCATCCCAAAGCATAAAATTCAGAAATTATGAACACGCTATTAAGTTCGTATAACAGCAGTAAACTCCAAAGACAAGTAATACAAAAGAATTAACTGCTGCGGAACTACAAACTATTAACCATAGCGAGATTCCAGCTAAAGCTATGTGAGAGAGAGAGAGATTCAAATTCATGTAGAAAGTGAAAGAATCATTTATTCAAGAATAACTAGGTTTCTGGTCATTCCAGATATCCATTAACCAATGGTTGAATTTAAAATGGGATAATCAAACTTCCAGTCATATATTTACAGATCAGCCAAGGACATAACTGTGGAGGATGCTCAAAGATGTTTGAGATTGTCCAAAGCCTTAACTGACAAGTAAAGATAAAACAAAGAAAAACACACTACGCTGCAGGGGGCCTAAGCTCGTGATCTTGAGATGTATCTCGTGCTGATGGAGGTAAATATTGCCACATTGGGACCAAACCATAACCAGGAAAAACTGCCATCTTATTTGCCCCAGGATGATACGCTGCTGGGTGAGCAGGAAGATACCCGGCTGGTGGAATGGTCGTTGTTTTCAGCTGCTGCTCCATCTTTTCTTTATTTGCCTTCAGTAGAAGCTTCTCTTCGCGAAGTTCATTCTTCTCAGCCTGTTGTATGCAAAGTTAACAGAAGGAAAAGGAAAAGGAAAAGAAGACACTTGAATTTATGATGCAATCTCAAAGGACAGGATAATTTGAATCATTCATCCATGAAATTGTTATCTACATGTTACAGGTGATTCTGCCTCCTCGATGAACTCTAATAGTGTGGAGTTTATTATGCAAACTTTTTAAGCTTTAACTGTTTAAATATTTATTTTCTTTCTTAATTAGATTAAAGACCAACCTGTTTTAACAATAAAAGGTGAGAGAAACAGATCTCGTGTCATGGTGAAGAAACCAGATTCAGAAAGACAGATGTTAAAGCTAGACAACACAGTGATCATCCATTTATACGTCACAAACAAATGCAAATGGTAAAAATTCAAAAATGACCTACACATGGCAATAAAGACGATCCCATCTCCACCAAATTGAGATCAAAATAAAAGGAAAAAAGGTCAGTGAGGCATATTTCCAACTACAACATGGAAATACATTCTTTAAATCTAAGCACATCATCTAAAAGTTATTTTCCCTAGAACTGAGTTCTCACAAACGAGCAAAATTATGAACTTCTCAATTTTCATCTAATATACAAGCAAGCAAGTCAAGAACAAATACTCAAGAAGATAGAGAATCGTCACATCAAACAATAAATTGATCCAAATGGTAATAATAAACCAAAATTTACATCTGCAATAAACATTGTACAGGAAAAATGTGGAAGCAAAACTTCTAGAGATAGCCCATGAAAGACGTGGATGCAAGTAATAAAAAATAATATGAAGGTTAAAGAAATAGACGAAAATGTTGTTTTTTATAGAAATGAGTGGCGCAAGAAGATTCAAAACTATAACCTAATATGATTTCCTTTTTTGCCTTTCATATAGCCGATCCCAGAGTTTTGGGATATAAGGCTTAATTTGTTGTTGTTGTAATAAACATTTTACAGGGTGCAGAATCAGAAAAAAGCTACGTTAACAAAATTAAAAGAATAAAGGAGTTGAAAGACTGGTAGTTCACTTAACATTGCAGCAGATTACATATCCAAAATGATGTGGATGTCTATTTCCTATTTTGCACGTGTCTAGATTAAAAAAAAAAAAAAAACACTAACCTTTAAACATTTTATTTCCTCCGATAGCTTTTCATTTGTTTCTTTGAGCTCCTGAGTCTCAGTTCTTAGTTGGGTCAAAACTTTGATGGCATCATCAAGTATCACCGATTTGTCTGTCCTGACAGATCTCCCAGGTTCCAAAATAGAGCTTAGATCCAGAAACCTACAAGAGTATAACAGAATCTGTTTCTTTAACTTACATCTTACCTGCTTGAGAGATATGCAAATGAAACATACAACTATAAATCAACTCAAGGTTATCATCATACTGCAACCATTAAATATAAAAGGTTACAATAAGAATCTAATAAGGAAGATACATGCCTTTCATTCAATCTCTCCCGTCTCAATTTCTCACGGCATGCTTTGGCCCCTGGCTTGCTGCATGCTCCACCGCGTCCCCTAAAAATCCATCAATTGCACACACCGTCTTTAATTCTAAGTACAAAACATAGCAAAACTGAAACGAAAACTTGAAAGAAAAAAAAAAAAAACCCAAATTTTGTATTGCCATTGATAACAAATCCAATACAAAGTAAAGATAAAAAGTGAAAACTTAGGGGAAAAAAGAGATTTCTTTTTATTGTTTTGAGAACTAAGCGAATCGGCCCAAAAAAAAAAACCCACTTTGGATTAATAGTTTCTGAATTATATTTTACAATTAAATTCCCATAAAACAGATGAAAAAATAGACAAATTTAGAAATATAAATTGAAATAATACCTCTTGCGAGAGCAATCTCTATCCGCGAATTCCTTTTCTTGATGCACAACATTTCCAGACGAGAATTCAACTTCTCTGCCACTACTGCAACAAAAAGAATAATCATAAATCAAATAAAAAAATTCCTCAATTAATTCACAATTAATTAAAAAGACACAACCTAGATTAAATAAAAAATTTTTTACAACAAAAAAGAAAAAGAGCACCTATTATTGGGCAAAAGTAAATCTGGAGAAGTATATTCATTGATAAAATTATAATCCAGAAAATCCCAGTCTTCGATTGAATCCATTTTTTTCACCACTTCCACACTCCAATTTTTCCTTTTTTTTTTGGAAATTTGCATGAAATATATACAGAGGGACAGTGGAAGGATTCGAGTAGCGATTAGGAAATTTTGGGAATTTAAATTCTTTTTGCTTTTTAGGTTTAAACTTGGAAGTGGAAAATTATGTCCAATTAAATTGAAACACGTGGAGTTAGCAAAACGACCCGGCTGCGCGCCGCCACACCGTTGTTAGGACTACTCAACTTTCGGCGGTTCAAATATTTTTGGATTATATATTTTTACAAATTAAAAAGAAAAAAAAAGTAAAATAATTACTTTATTTTTTGTCAAACATAATATATATGGTTTCATAGAAAATGTGATTAGAAATTTGTGTTTGGATAAAAAAAAATATAAAAATAAAAATCTCTTGAAAATACATAAAAATTTTATTCATTTTAATTACATAAAAATTTTGTTACCTTAACGATTTTCTAAAAAAGATTTATCCATTAATATTTATTTAACCATATAAATTAAATAAAGTTACTTTTGAATATAAAATATGAAAACTAATTTTGAAAAAATCCAATCCAAAGTAATTGCTTAAAGAGGGAATTTATTCTCTCAGTTAATATGTTAACACATGTATTTGGAATAAATTTTAGATGAAACAGACACTTTAGGTATTGAAATTTAAAATTAAGGATTGAGATGAAAATTTTTATGTTTAATTTGTAGATTTATTTTAATAAAATTGAATTGAATTATTTTATTTTAGATTTTGATTTGTAGATTTATACTTGAGATTTATATATATATTTTTTTATAACGTAGCTTCACAAATTTAATAAAATTTTATTTTATGTCTATCTTTTATAAATTAAAATTATTTTTTATAATGATAAAATATTTATAGTGATAAATATAACACAACATAAATTTTTAAAATTATTTTGCTCATATGAAAAACTACACATAAATTATGTAAGTACTAAAGCGAAACGTGAGCTTTTGTCTTTTGTCTTTTTTTTTTCTTTTAATTTATAAAATGTAGTCAAAGTATTTTTTTAATTATTATTTGCGGGTGAGGCCATGCCAGAAATGGGTTGTTATCAAATGGCTATGAAAACGAAATTGATTTGATATTTTTGGGCCTAACAGAGATATTGACCCAAATGAATATTATTTTTCATCCAAATGAATCCCAATATAATATACCATAATCCTAGAATGGTCGCCACCTGCCACAGCTATCATAATCTTTGCCCATTTCTTACCTTGAAGAAGCTGCATTGGATAATGTTTTAACTATTTATCTTCAATTTTGTTTCCTGTCTGTCCTTTTGTTACCTTCAAGAAGTTGCATCCTTATTGTCTCCAAGTTTCCAACTCTTTCCTCCAGGCCCCATGTGATTCTCTTTTTGCATTTATTTTTCAAAAGTTTGTCACTGAAATGTGGAAACATTGAGCTGAAGTTAAAATTTTACCAGGTGGAAATAAGTTGTTTCAATTGCTACACTCTTGACTTGACCAGGTTGGTAAAATAAACCATTGTTATTTGAAAGCATCCTCAGTTTTGCCCATGAGGTTTTCCATAAGGTCTATGGTTGAACCTGGCAACTGTTGATTGAGGAAGATCCAAAGAAAGACTGGGGAAGGGTAAAAGAAATTTGCAAAAGAAAATGAACTTGATGCCTAACAGAAAAACAATATGGAAACCATCAAATCACACTTTACAGTGATCAGGATACAGACAAAAACTATATGATCTGTTGGTAGAGTATCAGACTTTTTGTTAGTTTTGATGATCAAGGTAACAGGGTTTAATATATGACAATTTCAAGTAGAAAAAGAAAAAAACACACACTTTGCAACTCCAATTTAAGACCAATGCATTTGATCCATATCAATACTCTTATTCTCCAGGCAGTTGAGTTGAAACCAAGTGGCATTGACCATGGCTTTAGTTCGTATGTATTTGGTAAAAAGAATTTGTGGTGACTTTGAGATGCTAAAAGTTTTTATAGTAGTTCCATAATAAAAATTGATCAAATGCTGCAAAGGTGATTTTTACATGCTGGAATTTTAGTGGACTTAAGAAGAATTAGGACCTAGTTGATGGGGTAATAGTGATAAGGAATGGAAGTGGAAATTTGGTTGATGGGGTAGGAAAGCAGTTGAAGGCAGGTGAAGGTAGGCGAAGCACCAGTAGCAGAGGCCTTGGCAGTAAAAACAGGATTGGGACTAGTTGCTTCTAGGAAATATCAGAAGGTGATTGTTGAAATGGATTCTGAAGTTCTGTTTAATCACTTTGGAAGGACAAAGAAGAATTATAATTGGCAAATTAGGCCAATTATGAAGGAAATAATGAAGATGTGGGAAGAGGTACCAGAGAAGAAATTGAAGTTGGTCAAGAGACATGCCAATAGGCCTGCGGGCTGGGTTGGCAACACAGTCAAAAATAGGGATGAGCAGTTTGGGTTGGCTTAGGCGACCCCACCCCCATTTGTCAGAATCTAAAGTAGGGATGGGTTACCAGCACCACATTCTGTTAAATTGTATATAAAGATAACTGCTGATGAGAGTTTCATTTTACAAGATCTCATAATCTCAATTATCATGCTGATATGAGTAAAACTGACAGTGTATGGTGATTCCTGGGAATGAATTTCTTTTATTTGGCCCAAAAAAGACCGTTTCCAACCGAGACCAAACCATATATTCCTTCTTCAACAACCATTCATTATTGGCAATAGAAGTTGGTAACCATCGGATTCTCTAAATTAAAGAGAACCACTTTTCTGCCAGCGAAATCAATTTGAAGGGACCTCCCTTCTTCTACCACTTCTTTTATAGTCTTTCTGTCCCTTATGTCAAAGCAAAAATGAGACAGTCGAGTTGGTTGAGTTAGTGAGATTGATAATTTATTTGTAAGTTTTAGATTCAATTCTGTCAGAATCATTTGGTGAGCAATCTCTAAATTCAATGCAAGTTCTCAATGAGACTTTGAGCATGCTTTGTGTATGGAATGGAATTACTTTCTTTTGCCTAAACTTTTATTTACCAAAAAAAAAAAAAAAGCAAAAATAGACAAATACCGGATCCCATCAAGAAAAGAAATAAAAATGAACAAGAACTGTATAAAAAGGTAGAGGCTGCTTAAGCAATGAATAATGATGCTCATAATCATGACTGTAAGTTATATGAGAACACAATGGACCAGCTGCCCCTACCCCAAGTCTTTATAATTTATAAACCCCAGAAAGAAATTCAAATAAATTAATGATTTTTTTCCATTTCAGTTTGAACATTTCTATGTCAAAATTTTTTAAAATCTCTATGTTAAAAAAAGGAAAGAAAGAAAGAAAAGAATCCTTAAAACTCTGGTTTTATGGCTCCAAATAAACGGGCAAAACTGCACTTTTGGACCCTTTGCCGTGAACAAAAGAAAAGAAAGGTCTTCTCACTCTGCTACTGCAACCTTCACTGGGGCTAACCTCAGTGACTTGTCTGCTTTGTCTTACAGCTTCTTGAACTGCTAAATAGAGCTGCAGATCTGCTGATGAATCCATTGAGATAGACCTCCTTATTGGCTGTATTGCAAGCTGCTCATCTTTGTCTCTAATGTCAATGCATTCATCTCCCATGCTAGTCCCTTTATGAAGCTTTCTTGCTTTTTTCTGCATAATTCTCTGCTCCAATTTCCTTGGTGAAGGGCTAATAGACTGTGTCCATAACTCCCCCGAGTTCAATCTTTCTTCTGCACCAAGCAATATTTGATCAGTGGAACTATGGTTATCTAATTCAATCACCACAAAATCTTCATCATCACTAATGATATTTTCGGTATATGGATTTGGATCTTGTGGAGTTGATCTTGGAGCATTGATTTGGTCAACTGGGAACCGACTAGAACTCGAAATACTTGTTCTGCAAAGTGGACAATTGGCATTGTTGTGAAGCCAAACATCAATGCAATCAATGTGAAAAACATGGCTACAGTTTGGTATTATTCTTAGCTTCTCATCTTCCTGGAACTCATTCAAGCAAACTGCACATTCACAAAAACTTCTCTCTCCAAAATCTCTGCTGTTTCCACCTTTTTTGAATTGAAATATTGGGATTGACCTTATCACAGATTCATCGAGTCCTCTCTGTTCCATTGCTGGAGAGGATGCCATTAAAGGGTCTTCGGGTAGTCTTCGAGATAAAAAAAATCGCCTTAGAAGATCAATCCTGTGCCAATTGAAGCAGCACTTGATGACAAAGATATAGTAGCTTAATAACAAGAAAGCAGTAGCTAAAATTCCTACGACAGCAATAGCTATAATGGGAAAACTTGTATCAGATGAATGCAAATAAGGCCCCAAGATTGACTTTCCTGGACTTGTGATTGGAGAAAGAGCTTGTGAAAGTCGGATCGTATTCGTGTAACTTTTACTTACAAGATCCATGAAAAACAACTTGTCAAACAATGCAAAGAAAAGGGTGTGCTTGGATCTTGAAAACAATCAAACATGCAAAGCTTTATACTAAGTAAACACTGCTTTCAGAAACTAGAAATGATAAGTAGGTGAGTTTCTGTCAGGTTTCCTGAGATGTTTGGCTTCGAGGGAATAGAAAATTTAGGGGGCTAAAATCGAATGGATTAGCTCACCACAATGGATGATAGAGACTTGAAATAAACGTAGGAATCAAGTTGGTGGGGGACCAAGAACAAGGCATCAATTTATCATTGATTCAAAGCTTATGAGCTTTGATAATTTGAAGTTTGAACTTTAAGTATTAAATGGCTTTCAACAGCCAAGTGACCAGAAAAAAAAAATTACTCCAAAACATCAAAATTTTTTCTGATAATCAAAGATTGATTATATGGTGATTAATTTCATTTCATTGCAAATAATTCCTTAATTTTGACTTTTAGCAAACATTTGCCATAAGCATCTGTGTGAAACCACAGTTTCAATAGTTCTGTTATCATCTTGAGTCTAGTATGTCTAGTATGTCAAGAAAAAATTTCAGAGTGTCATGGTCCTTACGGGGCAGAAACAGTGTTCCTTTTTGTTTATTATTGAGATGAGTACCTTGAATTACCTAACAGCACCAGTGAACATTTGTTTATTTATCATACTAGTTTGATGAACTATAAATACAGAATCTACCTTTTTAATTACACATCAACTCACAACCTCATCTACAGTACAAACAATTAATATAGATATATAAAATATATTGTTTATTTATATTTTTAAGAACGGAAGGAATTCAGACATAAGCGTTACACTTTTTTTATATTTAAATTTGGATTAAAATAAATATTTTAAATCTTAATTATTTTGAGTGAAAATTATTGAAAAATTATTTGTTCAAAATTGATGGTAAAGAATGATGAAAATAATCAAATTTTCTATTGAATTGATCAAATTAATAGACTTATTGATATCTTAGACAAACAATATAACATAATAAAAATTAAATAAAAAATCGTAAATTCTTTTTATAAATACAGAATCATAAAAAAATAGTATAATTTGAAAGCCAAATTAATTAGATATTAACTCTTTCTTTATTTTAAGTTAAGATTTGCTTTACTGGTCCAATAGACAGTTAATTCAGCTCGTCCTTTCTTTCAATTTACTTGCATCAGTACTACGCCAGGGTTACCTCAGCTTTTTTCTTAATCTGAGACTCCTTTTCCATTGCTTTTCAGAACCATTTCAAGCCACTGTTACCAACTTTGGTCCCCAAGCTTTGCATGAGGAATTAGCAGACATGAACATGATAGTTCAAATAAAGTCTTGAACCCAAGTTATAGTAATTAATTACTATTATATTCATGAAATTAAGTTCTACTTTTTCCTGTTTTCAACATCCATGACTTGGAAAAAGAAGGGAAATAGAAACCCTATTATACTTCAAATTAATTTGTTTTTAAAATCCATATAAATATTCGAAAAGAGAAGAGATTGTCCTATAATTTATTTAATGTTAAAATTTAAATCTCACTTTTGTTGTATGTTATTTTTTAACGATAATTTTATATATAATTAAATTAAATTTTAAATTTTAATTATCTTATTTATATATATATATATATATATATATAAATGAATAGATTTCTAGGGCTCCATCTAGTTGATGCTTTTAACTTTATATTTACTTTATCTTTCACTCATTTTTTTGAGAAGTATCAACTAGACAAAGCATAGAAAAATGAAGTAATGCTTGGCAAAAATAGCATACAAGGCTTCAGTTTTTAATGTTTGATGTACAAGATTATAATATGATAAGATAATATAAGATTATAGATAAGATTAGATTAAATTATATCATCTTATATTATATTTGCTGTGTGCAAAGATTAAATACAAGATAGAATATTATTTTACCATTTATCATATTTGTTATATGTAAAATTAAGATTAGGATAAGATGATATTTTTTATTAGTCTAAATTATCCTTTATATACTAATTTGATTTTTATATAGTCACAAGTGATATAATTTCTCAAATTTTTTTTTTAGAGATTATCTATAAATTAATTAAAAGTTGCCCAAATACTTTTTTAATAGATAAATTTCTTCAATAATTTTAACTTAAAAAATATTCAATAAACAAATAAATACATCAAATAAATAACAAATAAATATAAATTCAAATAAAATTATATATTATTTTATATTAAAAAATTATTAAAAAGATTATAGCTTATAGTTTAAAGAAATCAAAGTTTTAATTACAAAATTTGTAATTAAAAAATTACAAATTATAAATTAACAACGTTAAAAAGTTTGAGAAACAGAAAATATTTTTTCATAGAAAATAAATGGCTTTTCTCCATCAATGGAGAGCGAAGAAAATTTAGAGAGTGGAGAATATTTTTAAGTATTTGATAATTTAAAATTTAAGATTTTAAATTTAAAGGTAAAATAAAAAATTTATTATTTAAAAATTTTGATAAATTATCTAATTTTATGGATTGAAATCAATCATCTACTTTTTCAAAAGATAGAGTTATTCTATTAGCATATGATATTTAATCCTTTCAATAATTTAATCTTTTTTTATTTAAGTGCATAATAAACATGTGATAAGATAATTAGTATCTTATCATTTAACTAATCTTATGTATTAAACGTAACATATATGTCTTATATTACTAAAATATAATGATATAATTCAAATAAAATACGTGTATATATATATATATATAATTTTAAACTTTCAATTGATTTTTCAAAATCAAATGTCAAAATTTATCCCTAAATGACATGATGTAGGCTCCATTACACTGGAGCTAGAGTTACATTTGGAAGCAAAAAAAATCGTCTGATAATCTTCCAATAGCTTTTGGCTTTTAAGCATGGTTGTAATAGGAATGGTACCTCGCCCAATTTGTCATACATTATCAAACTAAATAAAATAAAAGGAAAAGAAATTAAAAAAAAAACAAAAATATGTTTTTTTTTTTTTTTTTTTATATATATTCCTTTTTATTGGTCTTTGTTCACCACCAGAGAGACTGTTAATGACCCTACATATGCATTAATGGTAGTTGAGATATAATTCTCAACAATCTACTTTGGACAAATTTCATTAATGGGTAATGATTTCCTTTATTTATTAACATCCTACAAAGTTAAAGACATTAAATTGACTATTCCTAACTTTATAAATATTTGGTCAATCCAACGGTTGTGATTGGCTTATCAAATTCTTAATTGAACGACAAAAATAAATGCAATAGATAAAGTTTATAAAGGAAAATTTGGTACATTGTGCAACAATACAGTCAATAGCATATTCAAGATTTTTTTTATATTCATTTATAATATATATATAAGATTTTTTTATGTTCATTCATAATATATATATTTTTATTGACAAATTTATCAATTTTATTTATGAAAAAGATATTTATAAAATAATTTTAATTTTTTTTAAACCTTTGAATATGCTCAAAACTTTTTTTTATTTTTTTTAAAGTGTTATGCACATGCTTTCACAAAAAATTAGATCCACCAATAACGACGCTGTTGTTGCAAGGTTAATTTGATAATTTTAGATACAACACAAAAATGATATAAAAAATTGTATATTTTAAAAAATCAAATCTCGTATTTATTTGTATCAACATGAATTTTAATATAATATAATTTGTATCTTATACGTGTAAAATATGAAAAATACGTTTATATAAAATATATCATATGAATACATAATTAATACGAGATACGATATAACAAACACATTTAATTTAATCGTATTACATGGGTACACATTTAAAATTTTTTATATTTATTTTAATTTAATATAAATAAATAAAGATTATTTTAATTTTTAATCTTTTAATGAATAAACATATAAACACATTTGAAAATTGGAGTGAAAGAGTCTCACCTGATTGGATTTCAAGTCAAAATTAGCTAAAAACAACTTTTAGATTTGTTTTATGAAAAGACCCTAAGTAGAGTCAGTAAAATGTTGATCATTTATAGATTCTTTGATTTTTTTTTTTTAAATTTCAATATAAAATTTGTTATCATAAAGAATCTAATAAAAATTGTGACCGTTTGAATAGACAAAAATAAATGTTGTTGGTCCAGGCCTAGTACTATACAGAGACAACTCGCTAGTATTTGCACCATGGGACGTGGAAAATCAGCCCAAAGAAAAGAAAGTAAAGGAGAGCTGGACTTTCATTAAATCCAATGGAAAAATGAAATCCAAAAATAAGGAAAGTCTTGTTCTTACTTTCAGTCCATGGTTGATGAACTTTGCAGTGGGCCTGCTTTTGGGTGCTAAACCAACACACAATTTCACTCTTTATAAATATAGAATTTCCATTTTGTCTTGGACAACTGTTTTCTTGGTCAATTTAGGGTTTTTTTATAAGTCTTTAATGATATTAAAAATAATGATAGAAGTAAAATTAATTATTATAATAATAAAATTGATTATCATAATGATGAGATTAAAATCAATGATAAGATATATATATTTAGATACAAAAATAACGATAATAGTGAAATGATATGTAGTGAAAAAAAATCATTACAGTTATTAAATTAAAAATTATATATAATGAAAATTTTAGATTATTAGTTATTTAGTAATATCTAAAATAAATAATTAAAAATTAATAAAAAAATAGTAACAAATCAAATAATATTTTTTAAAAAGTAAATAATTAAACATTAAAAAATATAGTAATAAATCGAATGATATTTTTTAAAAACCAATAATAATATATTTACAAATTGAAACTTAAAAAAATAATATTTAATTATTTGAAAATTTTTAAATAAAAAAATAAAATGAAAAGAAAAAACAAAAATTAAGTATTAAAGACATGTCCGTTTTCATCCTTACGTTATAATCTTAAGGATTAAAAAACAGAGAAGGAAAAAGTAAGGATACAAATATAAGGTAAAATGTGTGTTTTCTTTTCACATTTTAAAAGTTTGAATTTGAAGAGAAGAAAATGTGTAAATCCATTTATTTTTGTTTCTTCTTATTATTTTTCTCCTGCGAAACAAAGCAAAAGGTGAAAAGAAAATTAATTTTTCTTTCAGATTTTACCTTTCCTTCATCTTTCCTTCCGACCAAACATGGTGCTAATTAAGCTACCATTAATCAAGCTGTCATTGTCTCAAAGCAACACAATCAACCATGAATGAAAATAGAGCCATAAACAAGTTACAGAGCCATCATTCTCAGCCTATTTGCCTGTAAACTAAGCCTAACCACAAGAAAAAAAAATGCTTCTTCGGTTCGAGACATAAAATAAAAGCTGTTTTAGGCTAAATTAGTAAGCAAAGAAACCTTAATGCTATAATTTTTCCATTCTAGAAAAATTATATGTTGATTTTGATATTGGAATATATCAAAAGCAAAGAAACTTTCGATTACATTCTAGAAAAAATTTTCCAACCCCTAATCGATAGCTTA